AGAATGACACAGAGTCTATAAACAGCCCCAGAGCCAGGTGAGTGATGTCACCTGTCAGATCTCACCAGGGCCTGGAGTTCTCAAGGGCTGGGCATGTTTCAGCTCATGGCTCATCCCGGGGACTATCCCTCCATCTGATACCACTGAGGACAGCAGAGGTAGGGATGACTTCACAGCCTGTAGGGAAGGTGAAACTTTTATCTGGTTTGGGCAGGAAGTAGTGATGATGTTTGATTTTCTAAAGAGGGTGGGAGGGATAATACTGGCTGAGTGAAAGATGCTAGTCTCTTCAGGATCCAGGATCCAGGAAATGGGGCAGTGTACCATCAATGGCTCTCCAGTTCAATCCAACAATGTCACACCCAGCCTGGCCTTCAAGGCCCTCTGTGACTGGGCCCCATTGGCCTTTCAGCTCTTAGTCTATGTTCCCAGTCTTTCCTTGAAAGAGCCCTGACCACTCCCAGTGCTGGGTTGCTTTTGACCTATTCCTCCTCTGGATGTTCCTCTCAACATCGGGTGCCTCTCCTCCTTAAATACAGTCTTCTAGGCTGGCTCGCCCAATTGGAAGCCACCTACCCTCTCCCCTGAGCTCCACCTGCCCTGGCTGATCCCTCAGTTTCTATCTTGCTGTGGTATCTGTCCAAGGTCTTCCCAGCCCTGTCCCAAATACCTACAGTGAGAAAGGTCTGATATGCAATAAACCCCAGCCTTGGAGTCAGACAGATTGTTCTAGCTCCACCACTACTCCCTTGGGCCATTCGCTTATCTATCTTTTGGGGGCCTTGCTCCCCATCTATATAATGGGTCTGCCTCTCAGGCTGTGGTGGAGAGCAAGGTGGGCTGAGGATGGAAAAGTGCTTTGAAACTGCAGTGGCTGAGTGAGTGGAGGCAGCTCTCCACTGAGATAGGGCATTTCATGGTTCATTGTGAGTAGGACAACTGAGGCCCCAGGAGCAAGTTTGAGGGATAACAACAGAAAAAAAAAGACCCACAACAAGACAAACCCAAACCATTGCTGTTGAATTAATTCTAGTTCATGGTAACCCATGTGTTTCAGAGTAGAATTGTGCACGGTAGGGTTTTCTTGGCTATAATCTATGGCAGCACATTATGAGATATTTCTTCCACAGTGCCGCTGGATGGGTTTGAACAGCCAACCTTTTTGTTAGCAGCTGATTGTAAACCACTTGCACCAGCCAGGATCCTCTGAGGGACAATAACCTGTTGCCATTGAGTTGACTCCAAGCACTTAACCACTGCACCACCAGGGACAATAAGGCGGCAAAAACAGTGTGGCACGGCTGAGGAGGACTCTGTGAGCTGAGGGCCTAGAACTGGACACAGGGAGCCCTGGAACTTTTTAAATTGAAGTTAACTGTCACATAACATGAAATTTACCATTTTAGAGTATACAAGTCAATGGTATTTAGTCCATTCGCAAAGTTGTCCACTTACCACCTCTATCTAGTTCCAGAACATTTTTATCACCCTAACAAGAAACCCCATATCCATTAAACAGTTGGTACTCCTCCCTACCTGGCAAGCAACCACCAGTCAGTTTTCAGTCTCTCTGGATTTACCTATCCTGGATATTTTATATAAGTGGGATAAGAGCTTTTATGTAAAGCCTGGGCTTCCAGGAAGCTTTACTACAAGGCATGTGGGGTGATTCCTCTCCTCCTATTTCAAATTCACAGCCTGCCCTGACGCAGGAGGGACCTAGGAGATGTGCAGAGAGCTCAGAGAGACCAAGACAGGGCAGGGAGCAAGCAGGCACCCCGCTCAGGCCTGCTCTACTTCACGCCACTGTCCTGGGGGAAGGGGGGCACTCCCCAGGGTAGAGTGAGGCTCATACTGGGCTGGGACTAGGGATGGGGCATCTGGACTCCAGAATGCTAGAGTTTCATTGAACGTTGTGGCCCCTCTGTGTGAGAAGTATAGAGAAGGGGCTGTGAACTTCTTGAAAAGAAGCCAAACTAGGATTTTTTTGTTTTGTTTTTAATTTTTATTGTGATTTGGTTGAAAGTTTACAGAGCAAATTCATTTTCGATGCAGCAGTTCATACACATTTTGTTTCATGACATTGATTGCAAGTCCCCAGAATATAACAGCTCCCCTCCCACTTCCTCCCTGTAGTTACCTCTTCCCTCTGTCCTTCCCTCCCATGTACTCCTGCCCCCTAAGCTGTCTCCCTGTGCAAACACTGCCCTTCTATTCTCCAGTAAGTGGTCACTCCATTGTTTGGCTGGAAGCAAACTAGGATTCTTTTTTTTTTTTTCCAAATGATTTTGAGTTTTGTTCCACATTGTTCTCCTTCTCTATCTAGGACCTCCTACATAGATCTCCCTCTGAGTGGTGGACAGTGGTAGCCAGGCACCATCTAGTTCTTCTGGTCTCATAGTCATATAGGCTGAGGACTGCATGGTGCACCAGTCGCTAGGACTAATTGTTTCCATGAATTTTTGGTTTTCTTCATTCTTCTTTGCTCTGGATGAGGAGAGACTCATTGTTGCACCTAGATGGCTGCTTGCAAGCTTTTAGATCCCAGTCGCTACTCACCAAAGTAGGAGGTGGAATAATGTTTGTGTAGTATGTTATGCCAATTGAGCTTGATGTCCCCTGTGACTATGGCCCTGAGCCCAAAGTCTCTCTGGGTAGCTGGCTATGACCAAGAAGTGACTACAACCTTGCCCCTTGTCAGCTCTACTATACACCTGGGAATTCAGATCATACAAATACACTTATAGAACCATTGACTGCCACCCCTATACATGGCCTTGGGTACACTCCCCGCTTCATAGCCATACTTAATAGTTCAGCCTGTCTACCCATCTATCTATCCACCTGCAAACTAGGATTCTTAAGAAGCTAGGACACTCTGCTCTGGCCCCATGAGTTTGCTTGGGCTAATATTTTGTTGCCTGACCCTTTCCTGTGAGCTGATTCAGGGCGTAGACCAGGTTAGTTCAGAGCTGGTCCCAGGTCAAGTCCACCTGCCTCCAAGGGTCAGCCCCTATTTCCTTCTCTGGCCTTCTCAGGCCTCTTAGCACCTGTAGCTGGAACCCTCAGCCCTCTGAGCTCTAAACCCTAAGCAAAGACAGTCTGGACTCTGCCTACCTGCCCACCGGCACCACACTTAACAGCTGACAAACCCATGTCTCTCTTTCATTTTATCCTTAGAACAAACCTGGAAAGAAAGCAGGGGAATTTTTATCCTCCCCTTCTATATAAGGGGAAACCGAGGCCCAGAAAGGTCTAAGAAGACTGGCATAAGTCAGTGGCAGGAAGGGTTCTCTTAGCCCTGGCCAGTCCCTTCCCCTCTCTGGCCTTTTTCCCTCTGAACAGCAGGAGATTGGTCCAGCTGTCTCTCCAGGCCCATACCCATTATTCATTCACCATGGGCCTCCTGATGCCACCCAGGTTCTTAGGAAGCCCACCCTCAATTCTCCCCTCCCAACTCAGTTCCCTTCTTGTGTCCTGGGTTTTCTGTCACTTTTCCTTACACTTGCCATGGAATGGACACTAGGTTCTGTTACCTGCAGGTGCAGTGCAGTCAGTCAGGAGGTCTGTTCCAAGATGAGAGGGGTGGGAGGGGAGCCTGCAGCATCTGCCTTGGCTGGTGGGGATCGGGCTGTCACTCTGGGGGAGTGGGGACAGGGGAAGGGGGTCAGAGCCAGTTCTAGTGGTGGGCAAGGAGCCTGGCAAGTGCATGATGGGCCCAGGCTGTGTTTCCGGTCTTGCAGGAAAAAGATCTGGTCTCTGGGACTATCTGGAGACACAAAGAGGCCAGGACAAGGAGGCCCTGGCCACCATAGGAGGTGTCTCTGTGTGTCTCCTCCTCTGTGTGTCACCTTACTCTCTAATCTCATCTTTCATATCCACCTTTCTCTGATTTTCTGTACCACCAGGTGTCTCCAGGGCCTGGAGATGGTGGGGTGGCAAGAATGCCTGAACCTACATTTGTTGTTGTTGTTGTTATTTGCCATAGAGTTGGCCCCGACTCCTAGCGACCCCTCCTTGGGTTTCCGAGGCAGTTATCACTACGGAAGTAGGATTGCCCAACCTTCCTTCCGAGGAGTGGCTGGTGGGTTTGAACCGCCAGCCTCCTGGTTAGCAGTCAAGTGCCTTAGGCACTATGCTACCAGAGCTCCCGAACCTACATTTAGGAAGGGCTCAAATGTTGTTGTTGTTGTTGTTGTGTGCCGTCGAGTCGGCCCCGACTCATAGCAACCCCTCCTTGGGTTTCCAAGGCAGTATCATTACGGAAGTAGGATTGCCCAACCTTCCTTCCGAGGAGTGGCTGGTGGGTTTGAACCGCCAGCCTTCTGATTAGCAGTCAAGTGCTTTAGCCATTATGCTACCAGAGCTCCTTGTAGACTTTTGCTATTATAGTCATATGAATACAAATGGATGGTCATATTTTAGCATTAACAATGTTTTAGCATTATATTTTCATTTTGTCATCTACTTAAAAAAAAAAAAAAAAAAAAGAGGAACAGGCCTCCTTTTGCGAGGCCCTATCTGTCCCTCTTCCTTCCCAGGAGTGGCTGGTGGGTTTGAACCGCCAGCCTTCTGGTTAGCAGTCAAGTGCCTTAGGCACTACGCTACCAGAGCTCAAGGTTGGGCAATCCTACTTCCGTAGTGATACTGCCTCGGAAACCCAAGGAGGGGTCGCTATGAGTCGGGGCTGACTCGACGGCAAACAACAACAACAACAACATCTGTCCCTCTGGTTTCTGTCTGCCATAATGAGGGTGTGTTGAGAGCAGCTCCACAGTCCTTCCTCACGAGCCTATGGCGCTGCCTGCTGGGGCCAGCAGGGGTCGCCCGCGGAATGGACAGGACTCGGGGGCGGGGCAGGGGCGGGGCCGGGAAGCTAGCTTAGCCAATAAAGGCGGCTGCGCGCGGCCGCCCCTCACTCGTCCTTCTAAGCGCCGGCAAGTTTCGCTGTGGTGGTCTCTGGTCTCGCTTCCCGTGTCTCGGTCCGACCCGCACGAGTAATGCTGGCGCTGCGCTGCGGCCCCCGCCTACTCGGCCTGCTCTCTGTTCCGCGCCTTGCGCCTCTGCGCCTGCCAGTGGCCCGCGCCTGCAGCAGCGGTGCTCGCGACCCGTCGTCTTCCTCCTCCGGGAACCCGCTCGTGTACCTGGATGTGGACGCCGACGGACAGCCTCTCGGCCGCGTGGTGCTGGAGGTGAGACCACTGGACCAGAGAGGGCTGCACTGCGCGTGGGGAATGGTCCCAGGGGAGCCCTGGACCCCCGCCCGGCGCTGTGCCGGCCTTACGAGGTGACCTTGGGCCCCCCTGGGCCTCAGTTTCCCCATCTCTAAGAAAGGACATCGGATTGGTCTCTTACGACCTCGGTAGGGATTTTGTATTTGTGGAGGCGGGGAAGGTGGGAAGGGCAAATGTTGGGGGGGGGGAAGAAAGCTCAAGGTCAGATCTCAGACTGAGAGGCCCCTGGGCCACGCTGCCAGGCCTCAGGGTGGAGGAGGGGTTCAGAGACCTCTCTGGGACCGAGTCCAGACCCGGAGCCCCCACGTGGGCCGAGGGCTCAGGCCCAGGGGGCGAGGCACCTCTGTGCTCACGTGGCTGCCCTTGCACAAGGCGGCCCTGGCTCCCGCCATGGGGTTCCCACACTGGGCGCTTTAGAAAACGGAAAGGTTGTTTTGGCTGGCCATGTTAGGCCACCTTTCCAGCCCTCCCAGGCAGACCGTGGGATGGCACTCCCGCGAGTCCAAGCAGTGTCCTAGAAGACCCCCAACCCCAGCCACCCTCCTGGAAGTGACACTCGGCACCTACTCTCCACTCTCTTTGAGCCAATTTTAAAACAAAGCAAGAAGCAAATTGCCAGTTGTCTGAAAGGTAACAGAAGTGAAGCTGAGGGCAGCTTCAAGGAAAACAAGACAAAAGGATCAATTAGTTTGTTGAATGACCTGTTTCCCAGGAAGCCCTTTATATTTCTTATTAAGCCTCAACTTCCTCTTCTGGAAAATGGGCAGAACGTTCCCTGCTCCCATTTACTGTAATGGTTTGGCTCATGAGTAGCTGGTGAAGCTGGAAGGCAAGAGGCGGGCTGGGAGGAGGGTTGTAATTGCCACCTCCTTACTTGGTTTTCCACTCCCGGCCTCACTTTCCCATCTGTACACTGAGAAACTTGGACTAGGCCTTCTCTCCAGACCGTGAGGCTCAGGGTTCAGCTTTGGTTGGTGTTGGTTCTGCGCATGAACGTAGGCCAGGATGGCATTGTCATCACTTCTGACAGATGAGGAAACCAAGGTTGCCGCCTTACTGCCTGCAGTTCAGGAAGCAACTGCCAGAAATGATAGCTGCTGTGATGGAGGCTAGGAAGGACTGGAATGGAATGGCCACGGGGCATTTACCACAAGTCCTTGCTTCTCCGGAAGGTGGTGGGAGGTTCCTTCCTTTGCCTGCCTCCAAACTAATCATCTTCTCCTGTTCTTCTTCTCTCCCATAGCTGAAGGCAGATGTCGTGCCGAAGACCGCAGGTAAGACAGGACTGGGCACTCTGAGTGTGGTCTTGGTGGAGCGGAAGCAGGGAAGGGCAGGTGGCTGTTGAGAGGAGCCAGGGTAGAAACTGGTGGCCAGAGGGAGTTCCACGTGAGGCTCAGCTGCCGGATACTCTGGGACAATTTTCTGACCCTCTCCGGACCCCAGTTTTGGCTCTGCCTACCTGTCTGGTAGTAGCTGGGAGCCTCAAAACAAGTTGAAGATACCATGTAAATTCCCCTGTCCTTTTCTCTCCACTGAGGAGCTTAATGGAGCTATGGTGACACAGTGCCTAAGGCATTTGACTGCTAACCAGAAGGTTGACAGTTCAAACCCACTAGCCTCTTCTCAGAAGGAAGATGGGGCAATCTACTTCCATAAACATTTACTGCCTTGGAAACCCAATGGGGGTTGCTTTGAGTCAGAATTGACTCAATGGCATAGGTTTGGTTTTGGTTAAGGAGCTCTAGTGGCCCAGTGATTAAGGCCTTTGGCTGCTAACCAAAAGGTCAGTGGTTTGAATCCACCAGCCACTCTGCAGGAGAAAGATGAGGCAGTCTGCTTCCATAAAGACTTATGGCCTTGGAAACCCTATAGGGCAGTTCTACTCTGTCCTTTGGGGTCACTATGAGTCAGAATTGACTCAATAGCAGTGAGTTTTGTTTTTTTTCTCACCCTCAGTACCCAATGGGGAAGGGTAGTGGGTACACCCCTTTAATGCCCTGCCTCACTGACCCGGTGCTGGAACAGCCAGGAGCAAATGCCCTCGCCACTGTACTTGGGAAACTGAAGTCAGAGAAGGGAAGTAACTTGCCTCACGTAACACAGCGAGTAGGGCAGAACAGACTCGTGTGGGCATGTAGTCTTTCCATCTCAGCTTACTCGTGGGTTAGCTGTGGTGCTGGCTGGGTTGGTATGGTCTTGGAGTGGGGCCCTGCCTTGTTCACATGTCTCTTCTTTTACTTCTCAGAAAACTTCAGAGCCCTATGCACTGGTGAGAAGGGTTTTGGCTACAAAGGCTCAACTTTCCACAGGGTGATTCCATCCTTCATGTGCCAGGTAACACTGCCTCAGTTTCCTCTTTTGTAAGCGGCAGTAATAAGGTGGTTAGGAAGACTCAGTGAGTGAACTCGTGCCTGGTATATGGGTGGCACTACCTGGACGGCAGCTGTGGCCACTCCTCCTGGCTTGTCCTCTCACCCTTAGGGATTGTGGCTTGTCTGGGCTGCTATGGCTCTTCCCTGCCCCAGAAGTTAAGCCACAGGACAAGTGGCCCTGCCCAGCTAGGTTAGGATGAATAAGCTGGTGAGGGAGGAGGGTGAGAGGGCATATACAGGGGGTGGATCTTGACTTTGAAAAACCAGCATATTCTGACAGTCCTGGGAGGGCTGTGTCCATGTTCCCCCGACTATTTGACATGGGAGATAGAAAGAGGAGGAAGAGGAGGTAGAACACACAAGTCTGGACTCGAGCTCTTTCCAGAAAGGGCAGGCTGGGAAAGGGCGTTTTTCTCATTTACATGTCCATGTTCTTTGGTCATGTGACCTGCCTGGTTTTCAGAAGTGCTAATACTGTTGCATCAGTGGTTTTGCGGTAGGTGTGGACAGCAACAACTTCCCCAGGGGTTAGAGACTAAGGATGTTAGGGCAGATCCTTCAAGGTCAGGGGTAGTGTCCTGTGGCCCGTGGAACCTTAAAACAGGGGCATGGATATCAAGCCTTTTTGAAGTCCTTTCAGCCCGGAATTCTCTCCCCACTTTCCTCCACCCTGACCCAGTGGCTGTCAGCCTATCACGGTGAGTAGCTGTGGGCTAGGGCTGGGCCTGCTGCTGTGCCGAGCTGTCTGAATGCAGGTACATGTGGTGAATGTGACGAGGAGGGGCCCGGCCAAACCCCTCTGTGCTTGACGCTATTGCATGGTGTAGGCTGATGTCCTGAGCCAGACTAGGCTCTTCCTGTGAGCACTAACAGGCAGAGCAGGGACTCCAAAGCTGGAGGGCTTTGTGTGACATGAGGTGGTAGCACTGGGAGGCCCAGGCCAGGGTCTTGAGACATCCTTGTCTGGGGATACCGTACTGGCATCTGTGGATGCTTTAGCTGGGCTGGTCAAGTCTCCTTGCTCACATGATGATCCTGTCTCAGGAAAACAAGGCCTGGGGGCTGGGCAGCCCTTGGACTCTTCTGGAAGTCTTGCCAGGACTGTTTGCACCATACATGAGCCCCTGAGGAAGGAGGCCAAGGCCTGAGTGAACTCTGCCCTGGGTTTTTGAGGCCCCAGAAAGCCCTGGGCTTCGTGAGGGGTAAGAAGGATAAGGCGATGCAGGGTTAGGGATGGCACTTAGCACAGGGCACTAGCTCTAGGCCAGCTGTTGCTCTCCCCACAGACTAGCCTAGGGAATGGGAGCCTCTGGCCGCCTTCCTGTTTCCCCTCCCAGAATTGTGGTTTAAAAAGTTCTGGGTCACTAAGAATTGTTTCAGAATAGCCTTTAGGTCCTTTAAGTCTTAAATTGAGTCATTCCGAAACCTGGGTAGTTATTGTGGCAGGAAATACTTAAGCAGTATTTTTTTCCCCTTACTTCACTCATCTTTATTTCATTGGATGTTTATTGACTCCTTTGCCTGAGAGGAAAAAGAGAGAAAGGAGTTCTGGTGGTACAGTGGTTAAAGCATTCAGTTGCTAACCAAAGGGTCAGCAGTTGGAATCCACCAGCTGCTCTATGGGAGTAAGATGAGGCAGTCTGCTTCCATAAAGATTTACAGCCTTGGAAACTCTATGGCGCAGTTCTACTCTGTCCTATAGGGTCAGTATGAGTCAGAATCGACTCGGTGGCAGTGGATTTGGTTTTTGCCTGAGAGGCTTCCAGCTGGGTGGGCTTGGACTAAATTGAGAGCTGCCTGCCACCCTACCTACTCTGTGTGGTGGCCCCTCAGTAGATGTTCTGTGCTCCCCAGGCAGGTGACTTCACGAACCACAACGGCACAGGTGGAAAGTCCATCTACGGAAGCCGCTTTCCTGATGAGAACTTCACACTGAAGCATGTGGGACCAGGTGAGTGGGCCCCTTGCCCTCTTTGTCTTGAGTGCTTTCCCATTGCTTGGATCCAGCCTGGAAGCCACCGGCCCTACCCTGCCCCACCTGGGCAGGCCCAGGGAGGCTGCTGTTGTTATGTGCTGTAGAGTCGGGCCCGACTCACAGCGACTCCTCCTTGGGTTTCCGAGGCAGTATCACTACGGAAGCAGATTGCCCCATTTTCCTTCCGAGGAGTGGCTGGTGGGTACCATCCTATAATTGCTCAATAGCTGAGGATGGGCCTTTTTTTCGTCAGCACTGGTATCTGCTTGGTAGGCTCGGCATTTCTGCCTTGTTGAACTTTCATATTCTGAGCTCTAGATTGAAAAGACACACTTTCCTTTGGGAACTTGGAGGAGAAAGTCTTTAAGCCAAACCCCAGTCCTATTACCTTCAAGCCCCAAGTGAGAAGGTAGAACAATGTAGAGATCATGGCTGGAGGCCTCCCTCTGAGGACTTCTGCTTAGTGCTTTCCATCATGGCCTGGCTGCCCCATTGTGACCTCTAGTGGGCAGCAAAGGCAGATATGTTGTTGTTATGTGCCGTCGAGTCGGACCCGACTCATAGCGACCCTTCCTTGGGTTTCGGAGGCAGTATCACTATGGAAGCAGATTGCCCAACCTTCCTTCCGAGGAGTGGCAGATAAGCCCTGGGGAATTAGTCATTGGCCCTGGTTCTTTCTGGGCCCCAGGGTCTGCGGTTTGAATGTCCTTGGTGTGGTTTTAACAGTTTGCTCTTTGGAATGGCTTCCCAGGTGAATTACCTCCTGGGGCAGCACTACTCACCACTGCTTGTTTTTGCAGGCATCCTGTCCATGGCAAATGCAGGCCCCAACACCAACGGCTCCCAGTTCTTCATTTGCACCATAAAGACAGACTGGTGAGTCCCTCACTCCTGGCACATGGCCCTCTAGGACTGTGAGGCCACTTTGGAGGAGGGTTTATATACTTTCAGGGGCAGGCAGTTTGAAGTCTGAACTATTTGTGCTGGAGCAACAGTCTTCACCTCGGTTGTATGTGTATATGAGAGAGAGAAGAGACTGGGGGGCAATTTGGGTCATTTTGCAACTCTGTCTTAATTAGGCCTCCCAGTGGTACTGTCAGCTAGAATTTTCTCAGAGTATATTCTACAAAAAAAGGGAAAAAAAAAAAGATTGTTCTACTGGATTCATTTGAGAAATGCTATAGGACACATTAGGATTCAAGATGGTCTGAAGTATAAGCCCATTTGTTTGGTTTAACCTAGTGTTTCCCATGTTTATCTTTCAGCCAGGGGATGCACCTTGGCAAATGCTGCAGTAGACATTTGGATATCATACCAGCCTTTTTACTGAGTGACCATGTTAGCATAGGCTTGCAGGTAGCTACCAGCCCCCTAGAGCCCTCTGTTCTGGTTCCCTAGTACTGCTCTGACAAGAATATACCACAAATGGTATGGCCTTAATAAACAGGAGTTTGTTCTTACAATTTGGAGGCTTTAAGTCCAAGTGCAAAGTGCTAGGCTCTAGGGGCTGGGTAAAAGCCCCTCAGCCTTGGGGTCCAGCTCTGCCTCCTGCTCCCAGCCCACTGGAGCTAGAGGCATTTCTTCACTCAGACAGCTGCTGGCTGCTGAGGCTGAAAAGCCCCAAGGTTGACAAATAAAAAGGCACAGTCCCGATGTTGCCAATCCACACAGCAGGCATTTAAGTCCCAAGGTCGGCAGAGCATGGCAGGCTGCTAAACAATGACACAGCTATATGCAGGGTCCAAGCATGCCATAGGTTAGAGACCATTCCCAAAGCTTCTCTGTATATACAGGAAGCAGACCACATTCCAAAGCAGCTACTCAGCTGCTCATAGTAGATTCCAGCATGGAGTTGATTATCAGTCTCATCATGGGGAATACTACATCCAGCTGCCCAGCCACTCAACCAGACCCAGCCAAGTTGACATACAAACATAACCACTACACCCTCTTACCCACATGTCCACACATCTTAGTGATGTCTTTTCCCTCGTAAATTTTTCACTAAAAGGCAAATTTCCCTGTCCCTGTAAAAAAAGCCACAGTCTTGAATGCATCCTGTAGTCTTCTTCCCCACTAGAGTCCCCAGTGTCCTACCTATCTCTGGGACACCTAGAGTTGAGGGGCAGGCTGGAAGCTAAGACTTACAGTCCATTCTGAGGATTTGGGGGAGACTGAGGTTGCTGGGTTGGTGCTACCAGTCTCTAGCCTATAATCCAGAAGGAATGTGGATGCCAGGACTAGGCAGGTCCCTGCTGGCTTGGCCTGGCCTTTGCTTCTTCCACAGAATGTATCCTGCCTTTCTGCCCTCGTGGCCTTACTAGAGCTAGACTATGCTGCCTTTCAGATTCTTGGAACTCCCTCAAATTGAGAGCTTCTCAGAGCATCATCTTCCTCCATGACTTAAATAGTTACCCCACACTTGTTAGCTTGGCTGTCACTTCATAATTCATGAAGTAATTGCATGGGTGTAGACTTTGTATTTCTTCAGAGTAGTTCAATATCCCATTGTCTCCTCATGCCAAACAAGAATAACCTACTTTTTATAGATGAGGTGATCAGGATGTGGGTTAAGTGCCCTGAGGCCCGATCGCATGGTGTTGGAGCGGTATGTGGGAGCCATGTGTCCTCTGGTGTGTTTCAGGGAACTCAGCAGGGGTTAAGACCAGAGCTTTGGGTTGTGGGTCCAGCTTTTCATTGTGGGCTCCTTTTACAACTGCTGCTTTGGGTAACTAATACCCATTACCAAGTGGCTGTGACATTGTGCTACCCTCCTTTCTGCTTGGAGTCCCCAGGTGGTACAAACGGTTAACATACTTGGCTGCTAACTGAAAGATTGGCAGTTTAGATCCACCCAGAGGCTCCTGGGAAGAAAGGCCTAGCATTCTGCTTCTGAAAAAATCAGACATTTAAAAACCCTGGGGAGCACATTTTTACTCAGACACACATGGGGTTGCCATGAGTCAGAGTTGACTGCATTGTGGAGTCGACAGGTGCTGGTTCTTCTGGTTGCTTTCTGCTCACTTGGGTCATCTCCTCCCAGGCTGGATGGCAAGCATGTTGTGTTCGGCCACGTCAAAGAGGGCATGGATGTCGTGAAGAAAATTGAATCTTTTGGCTCCAAGAGTGGAAAGACATCCAAGAAGATTGTCATCACAGACTGTGGCCAGCTGAGCTAACCCATGGCCAGACGAGCAAGGGTGGCGGCAGCATGCAGGTGTATTGACTCACTCAGGTGATGGCTTTGGAGTCTCAGTGAAGGTGCCCCATGGAGTTGCCTACTGCTTGCTCCACCACCACCACCACCACCACCACCGTGTGCTTGGGGAAGGCCTCTCAGGAATACTAGACCTCTGCTTCCCCAGTGTCCACTTTCCTCACGTCCTATTGCCATATGTCCATGTAGACATCAGGTTGCTTTCGATTGCCCCACCCCAGTTCGTCTGTGCCTTGGACATTCAGGAAAACTCTTGCCTTTCCTTGGCCAAGGGGAAAGCTAGTTACTGTAAAAGGGCTACTGTAATCCCATTCAGTTACATCTTCTGGTTTGGAATAATGTAACTAATGAGAATTGATCTACCATGAAGCTGTGATACTGCGCCATGCCGGGGTGGGACCTGAATTGGTGGCTTGGGTTTTGAAATGGAATTCTGGGCTTTGTGAAGTTTCCTTCCCCGCTACTGTGAAACCCGTTGTTTTGCTGCTGTCATTTTTGAGAAGGTTCTTTGGTGGTGGGAGCAGATGAACCTGGGAACAGACCCACTGTGAGCTGTGCCTTGTCACTGAATTGTGTTGAAAACGGCCTGTGTGTGTGCCTTGTGCTCTGGAGGAGAGGAACCGTATGTTCACTGGAGCTTTGATTTTAATAAATCTGATAATGTATGTGAAACATCTCTGGAACATTTGTGTTCATTTTAAATGTGAAAATAAATCCTATTTTCTATAAAAGACTGCCTGGTGTCTATGATTTTAGGGCAGAGTATCTATAATTTAAGTATGTGAAACTAACCTGTTTGGAATTACTGTGAGCATGTTAGTTTTATGCTAAAGATTTCTTTGTGGACTATCTTATTTAATCACCCCAGCAACTTATGAGGGTACCATTGTCACCTACACTTTAGAGGTGAGGAAACTGAGTCTTAGACAAACTGTCACCATCTTAGTGTCTATAGCCTACACTGTGTGTACTGGCTACACCCTGCATCCCAGCTCTGCTGCTGAGCAGTGACTGAGGAAACTCAGTCTGTTCAGCAGCAGTCATGCCTATCTTGCCACCTCATAGGCTGGTGAGGGTTGAGTGAGCCATGTAAAGCATAGCATGGTGCCTGGTACAGCGTCTTAATGAGCACTCTGGAATGACAAGAATGATGACAAAACATTTTGCACATGTCAGGGTCTAGCGAAATGCCTCTAAGGGGTCACCACCCATCTAAGGAGGGGACGTTTCTGTCCTTGATGTGCCACTTAAATTTAGAATTCTAGTTTCTGAATGCACAGAGAGGGTAGAATTGGAGTTTGAGGTGATTTAAGAGCCTCCTTAAACAGGGCCACCTGTGGTCACAGAGTTGGATGGTCAAGTAGCCAGTTAAGGAGAAGGCATTTAGGTTCAGTTTAGGGCATTTCAAACAATTGTTTTGCATTGGGGTTCCCCGAGTTAGGTTGTTTGGGTCACAGGTCAGTGCAATCATTTTGAGGTCATGGTTAGGTATTTGGAGTCATGAGATCCCCTAAGTCAGATTCTGTGGGATTGCAGGTTAGCAGTCATTCTGAGGTCATGGCAACCAGGGTTGGGCCACTTGGAGTCATGAGTGTTCCCATGAAGGCAGAGTTCAACTGCAGGGATAGAGAGCTCAGCTGGCCTAGCAGTAGTCAGACAGTTCAGAGGAACCTTAGGGGTCTCCAGAGAACAAAGGAAAGGTGCCTGAACCCCATTTTCAGGAGCAAAAACACTCCATTTTTTCATTGCTCATCCAAGCCATGTTATAAATGGTTAAAACAGGCTCCAAGAATGGTGACACATTGTGAAGTATGTAACCAATGTTATTGAACTGTCCATGTAGAAATTGTGAATGGATGTATGTTTGGCTGTGTATAGTGCCACCAAAAATAAAATATTGTTTTAAAAGAAGAAAGAAACAGTTCCAAGGGGGACATGATTGCCCAAAGTGACCCTCTTAGTTGGCAGAGCAGGAGCTAGAACCCAGGGTCCCCAGAAGGGTTTCTGTTGGAGGCCTTTGAGAGTACACAGGCCTTGGGTCACATACATCAAGAGCTCATCTGATTCCTGAGGTCCCTCAAGAATGCCTCTTCCCCTGGGAGACTCCAGGATAGCAGTGGTGCTGATGACAAGTTTGAGGGACAGCACCTTGAGACACATTTCTGGCCCCATGGTGATGTCTGAGGGATGTCAGGGTCACAGAGGCTATGGGACTTGTGTTTAGTTCACAGAGCATTTTCTTCTCACTGTGGAGGGACTATGTCTGTGTCCATCTGTCCGTGGTCTAGAGAGAGGGAGGGAGGGGTACAGAATAAGTACGTAGACAGTTCCCCAAAACTGAGTTACCAGAAGGCAGAGGCCATTTCATATGGTGCTCTGCCCAGCTCTTTGCACAAGGGCCTGAGCCTGGTCTTATTTTTTTCCTTTACAAAATAGGAGTGTAAGTAATAAGTTAAAATATGATTCATTGCCAGCATGTGGTGTTTAATATTTGATGCATGAGTGAGGTAGTGAGTCATAGATGTACCCATATGTGATGCCATGTAAACACAGTGCTTTTTTTCCCCCTAAAGTTTATTTTGTTGAGAATATACAGCAAATATACAGCAAAACATACACCAATTCAGTTTCTGCCATGTACAAGTTAGTGGCATTGATTACGTTCTTTGAGTTGTGTGACCATTCTTACTTTCCTCTTCCGAGTTGTTCCTCACTAACACAAACTCACTACTCCCTAAGTTTCTTATCTAGTCTTTTGAGTTGTTGTCAGTTTGATCCCATATAGCTAGTTCTTAAAGGAACATAATGCTTAAGGCAGAGATTTTTTTTCTGGTTAAGCTAATCTGTTCAGTTTTAAGATGACTTCAGGTGATATTTTTGGTTTAAAGTTTAAAGATTATCTCAGGGCAATAGTTTAAAGTGTTCATCTACCCTCCATGGCTCCAGAAAGTCTAGAGTCCATGAGAATTTGAAATTTTGTTCTGAATTTTCTCCCTTTTGAAAGATTCTTCTTATGGAATCTTAGATCAAAATGTTCAGTAATGGTGGCTGGGCACCATCTGGTTCTTTTGGTCTCAGCAAAGGAGGCAATTGTTCATGGAGTCAGTTAGCCACACATTCCATATCTTCCTCCTATTCCTGATTCTCCTTCTTCCTCTGTTGCTCCAGGTGAATAGATACCAATTGTTGTGCCTTGGATGGCTGCTTGCAAGCTTTTAGGACCCTGGGCACTAGGCAATGAACTAGGAGGTAGAACAGAAGTACTAAACACGTTACTGGCCAATTAACTGAGATGTCACATGAAACCAAGACCCTAAACCTCCAAACCAAGGAACTAAACCCCATGAGATTTTTGGTTGTATTAAGCACCTTCTGCTCTACTCTTTTTTTGTTGTTGTTGTAAACATAAAAGAGCTCTGGTGATGCAGTGGTTAAAATATTTTAGCTGCTAACCAAAAGGTCAGTGGTTTGAACCCACTAGCCACTCCATAGGAGAAAGGTGAAGCAGTTTATTTCTGTAAAGATTTACAGCCTTGGAAACCTATGGGGTTCTACTCTGTCCTGTAGGGTTGCTGTGAGTTGGAATCAATTCTGTGGCAGTAGGTTGGTTATAAATATGTCTATCACACAACTTTTGCCACCTCAGAAGGAAGGTTGAGCAATCTACTTCTGTAGTGATACCACCTTGGAAACCCAAGGAGGGGTCACTATGAGTCACTTCTGACTTGACAGCACATAACAACAACTTACTGAGAGCAATTACAATAATCAGCTATACAACCCTACCCTTAATTGATGTGACTTTCCCATCACTGTTAAATCCCACCTTTCTCCCTGCCTCCTGCCCCCAGAACTGCTAATAAACTTTGATCCCTGTATAATTGCCTTTTCTTGAATTTTTGCATTAGTGAGGTCATACAATACTTGTCCTTTTTTGATTGGTTTGTTTTGCTCAGCATATTTTCAAGCTCCGTCCATATTGTAGCATGTATCAAGACTTCATTTCTCCTACTGGCTGAGTAGTATTCCGTGGTATGTATATACCACATTTCGTTTATCCATTCATCTGTCAGTGGGCATTTAGATTTCCACATTGGCTATTATGAATAATACTGCCATGAAGACTGGTGTACAAGTCTCTGTTTGAGTCTCTGCTTTCAAGTCTTTTGGGTATATACCTAGGAGTGGAATTCCTGTGTCATATGCTAGTTCTAATTTTTAGTTTTTTGAGGAAACACCACACTATTTTCCACAGTGACTATACCATTTTGCATTCCCACCAACAAAAATATGTATCCCAATTTCTGCATATCCTCACCAACATTTATTGTTATTATTATTTTAATTTTAATCATACTATTATGTTGTTGTCAGCTACCATCAAGTCAGTTTTCACTCCTAGAAACCCTGTGCACATCAGAATGAAACACTGCCCGTCCCTATGCCATCCTCACAAATATTGCCATGGTTGAGCCCACTGTCACAGCCACTGTGACTCATCAGGGTCTTCCCTCTTTTCCTGACTCTCTACTTTAACTAATGTAATATCCTTCTCCAGGGATCAGTCCCTCTGACAGCATGACCAAAGTATTAGAGATGAAGTCTGGCCACTTTTGCTTCTAAGACAGATTTTGTCCAAGACAGATTTGTTCATTCTTCTAGCAGTCTGTGGTATATTCGATACTCTTTGCCAACAGCACAATTCAAATGCATCAATTCTTCTTTGGTCTTCCTTATTTATTGTCCACCTCTCACATACATATGAGGCTATTGAAAATACCATGGTTTAGGTCAGGTGCATCTTAGTCTTCAACGTGATATCTCTGCTCTTCAACACTTTAAAGAGGTCTTTTGCAGCAGATTTGCCTAATACAATATGTCATTTGATTTCTTGACTGCTGCTTCCATGGGTGTTGATTGTGGATCCAAGTAGAATGAAATCATTGACAACTTCATTCTTTT